TGTTTTGGATTTTGTAAGTGTTTTGGAGTTTGTACGTGCTTTGTCTCTAGGGGCCACCGTAAATCTGTTCTTCAAATGAAAAAAAAAATCAAAAACAATCATCCAAAATAACATTTTAGACATGACTGTCCGGTCCATGTTAGACTGACTATCCCAACCCCCCCCCCATGCTACCATAGGTCACACAAGAAGCATTTCAAAACCTGAACCAGGCCATACGAGGACCAACCTGCAACTCACCACCCAGCAAGTAGCATTCCTGAGTGAAGAGGCCAGCTCATTCAATTCAATTTCATTTTATTTATATAGCGCCAAACAGTGTTGGGGAGTAACGGAATACATGTACCGCCGTTACGTATTTAAAATACAAAATATGAGTAACTGGATTCCATTACAGTTACCATTTAAAAAGGTGGTATTTAGAATACAGTTACTTTGTTAAAATAAATGGATTACATGGCGGTATTTTCCTGTTTCATTTTGTCGCGGGTCAGGACTGTTTCGGTTTTGTTTGACAACTATGTTCTGTTGTTCCAGGCGGCAGCATTATGGTTGCCATGGCGACTGTGTGTTTCCTGGGTGAGAAAGCGCCTTTTTGTTGTTGTTGTTGTGTAAAGCTAATAGGCAGAATGCTACAGGCATAGCCCTAAAGAATGTAGCATCATAGGCAGTGTAGTCCGTGTTGCAGGGAGAATGGATCGCCATACCCATTATGTGTCTGTGAGCGCGAGGAGGGAGAAAAAGGAGAGTGGAAAAGTACGAGTTGTCATCAAACAAAAACGGGAGCTGGAAGCATGTAAATATAATAATAACCACTGCAGCCAAGAAGAGTGCCTGGCGAGCCCAGTTGTAAGTAAGCTATTAAGACTCGACTGTACACTGTGTTCATGTTTTCCTACGAAACAATAAGTTCCATTGGAGCAGCCTTTCAACGCCTCTCTCTGTCTCTCACAAGCAAAGGTGACCCAGACAACAAAGTAAAGCTATTTTTCAGCTACAAGCCCAACACGGAACCGACGTATTAGTCAGAGGTCCGTTTACTACAGTTCGGAGTCGCGGACCTTCAGTAACAGTAATAAATCACACAGCAATAGTACATTCACGTAGTTGTAAAAAGCATGATAATATATTAAGTAATCCAAAGTATTCAGAATACGTTAGTCTCATTGAGTAACGGAACGGAACAGAGTAACGTTACAGAATACATTTTGGCGTATGTATTCTGTAATCTGTAGTGGAATACATTTTAAAAGTAACCTTCCCAACACTGGCGCCAAATCACAACAGTCGTCTCAAGGCTTGTGTACTACCTTTTTCTGTTAATGGTTTATATGACACTACTGCATGTCATGTTCTTGTACTTCTGTACTAAAAATGGCAACACATTGCAAAACAGTTGGGGTCAGGTAACAAAAGGCTTGACAAATAGTTCGAAAAATACTATGGAAAAAAGGAACAACTGGAGGAACATTTTGAAACATATTTTGTTAACTAACAACAGGTCGGTAGCATGCTGGGGAATAAAATGTGGATATATTAAACATGTTAAAAGGAAACATTTTAAAAGAAAGTGACACTTAAAAAAATCAGCAATCTGCTTTGTTCTAATTAAAAACTGAAAAATGAATGAGACTGTTTACCTTATGGGTAGAGGTCTGTAGCAATCCGTAAATCAGCCCAAATCCAACTATCTGAGGAAAGAGACTCAGATCATGTCATCTGCAATAGCAAAACCAGAGTTCCTGTATGGTTGCCTAAATGTACCAAGGAAACATTTATTCTTTAAAAGATAAATTCATCAGGGACTTGTTTTAAAAATGTTTCAAAACAAAAGAAACAAAAGATAAACAGTACCACAGAGAATTTCAAGTTTAAACTTTGGTCGATCTGCCCATTGTTTAGGTTTGACCATAGAAAACATTGGGCATGCATATATTTGTTACAGAATATATATGTATATATATATATATGTATATATATATATATATATATATAT